AGAAGAACAGGACACACTTATACATATATTTCCAAGAGCACAGACTGGTAGAGGTTGGAGGAGACCTCTGGAGGTCATCTTCTCCAATCCACCCCTGCTCAAGCAGGGCCACCTAGAGCCAGCCTCCCAGGACCACATCCAGACAGCTTTTTAATACCTCCGTGGAGGGAGAGCACACCACCTCTCTGGGCAACCTGTGCCAGTGCTCAGCCACTATCACATTAAAAAAAAAAGTGCTTCCAGATGTTCAGAGGGAACCTCTTGTGTTTCAGATTGTGCCCATGAGCTCTGGTCCTGCACCACTGAAGAGAACCTGGCTCTGTCTTCTTTGCACACCCTCCCTTCAGGTGTTAATACACACTGACTATATCCCCCTCTCAGCCTTTTTTCACAGGAGGGATGCTCCAGTCCCTTCATTGCCTTACTGTCCCTTCACTGCACTCTCTCCAGTGTGTCCATGTCTTCCTTGTACTACAAAGTCCAGAGCTGGACACATTTGGTCACTATTTTCTCATAGTATCTCCTATTGGTTTAGAATTACATTGGCAAGAAAAAGCACTTAATGGACTTTGGCTATCATTTGCTAGGCAGCTCCACTGTAACTAAAATGCTCAGAAACTGACTCATCATTCTTTATCTGAAATGAAACCATCAAGTTTAGCAGATGCCTCTTCCAATCTGAGCCAAAACAGTAGAAAAAAAAAAAAAGAAGTGCATACAGCATCTAAACAGCTTGAGGAAACACATCCTTCCCTGACGTAAGCATATTCTAATAGTGACAGTTTTGTGTAAGCATCTCCTGAGGCGTCACAGCATCTGAAGAAACCATCTTAAAAGACAAAGATATCTGCTTCCCTTTGACAGTTGCTTACCAGTTGCAGCCTGAAGGAAGTTACAGTCCCACTACAGAAAGGTTGGTTTTACAAAACCATAATATATGTATAACAAAAGCACAACAAAAGGGTTACTATCCAAAAATCCTGAGGGCTACACGCAGCAATTAACTGTTAAAACACACACATATCCACCCCTAGAGTAATCAGAGTCATGCCCTTTGGCTCGACACCACAATTGCTTTATCAGCAAAGATAAGATGAGCAGCACCTCCCAGTCACACTGTCAGCCAAAAATAACAGTCTCAATTTTGCCATATCTTTCTCACGTAAGTAACTCCCATCAGTTTTTCCAAGAGCCATGTGGCAAATCCCAGGGTTTAGGAGTAATTTTATTCTTAGCTTCTTTACAAGAAGACTTCCATAACCCAAGCAAGTCACAGAATCGTAGACTGCTTTGGGTTGGAAGGAACCTTCAAAGGTCCCCTGCGATGAGCAGGAACATCTTCAACTAGATCAGGTTGCTCAGAGCCCCACACGACCTCACCTTGGACATTTCCAGGGATGGGGCATCTACCACCTCTCTGGGCAGCCTGGGTCAGGGTTTCACCACCCTCAGTGTAAACAATTTCTTCCTTATATCTAGTTCAAATCTTCCCTCTTTCAGTTTAAAGCCACTACCCCTTGTCCTATCGCAACGGGTCCTGCTAAAAAGTCTGTTCTCATCTTTCTTATAAGCCCCCTTTAAGTACTGAAAGCCAGTGCTGTCCACTCAAAAAAACCAACCAAAGAAACCCCACCAAAATCTGCCCCTACCAGTAACAGGTTATATGCCAAAACAAACGATCAGAACAGAGGACCATGGTGGGGACACAGCTGAATGTGATTCCAGCTGTGCAACAGGCCTGCTGGATAATCTACTTCTCCAAACCTTTGTTCTTCCTTGAAAACTAAGAAGCTCACTATTTTCTAGTCACATTATGAAGGTAAAATTTTGTTTTCTGTACAAAGGAGCAAGCTGTCCGTAACGGGAGTGGAGATCAACAAAACCACCTCCCTTCAGTTGCAGCAAGCTGTTAGCACATTGAAGCTGCTAAGCCATCCTGTGCAAATCCTTAAATGCCCATATTATCAGCCCAGCTATCCAGGGCATTCCCCTGACCTAAGTAGAGATTTCTTTCCAAGAACACAGGTCTGAAAGGTAGGGAAATGCTTTTCAACCAGCTGCTCTGCTATCTAAAATGGGATACGTGTAGCTAGTACTAATCCAGATTCCTCCTTTCTTCTGCCAGTGTTTAAGAGCAGCTTCCTTTTTGTCTTCAGATCTCAGGGCCCACAGCTCTTCATGAGGACTTTACCCTGTCTACCTTGAGAGTTTAGGGTGCCAGCCAGGAGAAGACTCAAGCCTGGCCTGATATAGTTTCTCTGTCTATAAAGGACACAGCCTTCAGCTGCAAGAATTCCTCATCTTCAGAAAACAAAGGTCCAAACTCAAGCTCCCTGCAGATGCCATCATCACTCTTGGTAGCAACAGAGAACCCTTTCTAAGAAGTGCAGGACAGCCCCACGGTACCAGTGAGAGGGTCTGTCTGATACAGGACACAGTAAGAACAGACAAAGGGAATCAGCACATCCACAAACAGGTCTACGGGCAGCTACGTGTTCCCTCAGGGCTGCTGCAAGCCCCTACGCAAGCACAAAACAGAATTTAACCTATATCTGATACAAAGTAGTTATATACCTTTGAATTAAAACCATTATTTTTTAAGCCACCTGCTTTTAAAATCTATCTTTAATGACTACATTGCTTAGATATTTATTAGAAGTTCGAAGCTGATAGTTCTGCCTCTTACACTTCAAGTAATGTAACTTTAGAGCTGTCAGCACGAATTCTTTACATTAATACTGTTGCATGCCAGAGCCTCTCAGAAGTTTATATACTTAACTATTACTTATGCAGCAAGTTCACACACCAAATCAAAACCACCATTTAAAAATGACAGGTTTCTGTAGCTTTCTTTACTAGCTAACTTGTAACTTCCAAACCAATCATACCTCCATTTTCCTCCTAGAAGCATAGCTCAGGAGTAAAAGTCAAATATACATTGCAAAAAACTTTACTTTCTGTAGAACGGATAGCACAATGAAACTACTGTAGATATAGCCATTACTGTAACACATTCTTTAAAAAAATTAGTGATCCATATACATTGGATCAATAGATAATTGAAGATATGATAGTCTGCAGCATTTATTAATTGTGATTCTGTAGAGATTTTCAACTTTGGCTTGGTAACTTGACAATATTTTATATTGCATTCATGAATACCTGTCCTGCAGCAACAGTTAATAATAGAAAGGATTACAAGTATTAAAATCAACTCTGAACACAAGTCCATGTTCTACAGGAATAACAGAAATCATAATCAGCTCCCCAGGTCCTTGGATTTAATGAGAAATCTGAAGGTAATCCTATCTAGTTAAATATAGACTTACAGGAGTAACTCCTTACCTGCAAACAGAGCTGTTCAATCCATGTCATTGACAGCTCACAGACACGCACAGGGAAGAGAGTACCCACCTCCACGACCCAGCTGCTGTTCTTAAGACACATCCTTATGTCCTGCAGGTCTCTGGGGATTGCTAGCCCCAAAGATACTACAGAATCACCCAGTCCATTTCCCAAGCCATCAGCTAAGTACTAGAAGACAGCTCCCAAAAGGGAAAGCTTGGGAGCAAGCGGGGACAGAACCTCTGCAGGACAGAGAGAGATTCTTTTGGTCTAGGCAGACTTCTTCCTTCTTCCTTTAAAATCATATTTTCAGACCCCATCAACTTTAGTGCAGTTCTTTACCAGATGGTTATAAAAAATACCACAAAATGGCACACCATAAGTGCAAGATGCTTGTTAGGAAAAGGACTTAAATACAATGAAATGGTGCACTGTTTTCCAGACCGCAATTGAGAGTGTAGGATTTTTTTATTTATTGATATGTATGACCATTTTGTTTAGTGCTTTGGTATGAACTTTTAATGTCTTTTAACTTGTAGTACTCAAACATACACAAGACATCATTACGGAAGACAAAGATGTCTAAAAATTAAAATGCAAACAATTCTAATTGCGCAGCCTCAACAGACAGCACATCCAGTACCTTAAACAGGAAACCTGTATCCTTAGAAGTCTTTCATTTTCCTGTCATCTGGTAATTTTCCCACTAAAAACCCTTTGTTCAACCTGGCCACCTTTGGATCCAGTGAATCTGTAGTTTTATCTGGACACCTCGTCAGCCAGTTCCAGCCAAACCCCACTTTACCACTGCCAGCTTGTTCCCAAATTAAAGATTCTGGCTGAGACACTCAAGTAGCCTCAGATGTTCCTGTAACAATTAGCCTAGACTAATTTCATCAGAAAATCAAGCCTCAAGCTATCAGTTTTATATTCCTGTCTTTTCCATGAGGAAGTTTACTAGGCTAAGGAACAGGAGCTGAACACTTCCTGCAAAAGTTGAAATTATTTTATTTTTAATTTTAGGAAGATTTTGTTTGAACAGTCTTTTAGACTAATTGAAGAGTTAAAAAAAATACTCAGGCAGTTCCTCTTGTGTTTGTTCTCACTATCATTCATTTTAGATTTTTCCAAATAAAATATTTCAAATAACTTAAAATACTGGAGACCTTATCACTCTCTACAGCTACCTGAAAGGAGGTTGTAGCAAGGTGGGTGTCCATCTCTTTTACCAAGTAAGAAGTAACAGGATAAGAGGAAACACCCTCAAGTTGCACCAGGGGAGGTCTAGATTGGACAGTAGGAAAGATTTCTTCCCCAAAAGGTTTATCAAGCATTGGACCAGGCTGCCCAGGGAAGTGGTTGAATCAACATCCCTGGAGGCATTTAAGAGACACGTAAACATGGTGCTGAGGGACATGGCTAGTGATGGACTTGCCAGCATTAGGTTGATGGATGGACTCAATGTTCTTAAAGATCCTTTTCAACCTAAATGATTCAATGAGAAAATACAAGAAAGGCAGCCTCCCATCACAGTAGTACATGATCAGCAGGTGGAGTGGGAAAAACTCTCATGTTTAACTTTACTACCTCCATCGTGACTGCAACTATGGTTGTTATGAAGACACATACCCACATTTCAGTATTCTGCAAACCTGAACAAAAGAAAAACATTTTTGTTTATTGAAGTTGACAAAAAGACTGTTAAGCTCTTGAAATAAGCATCATGTCTTAGTCATGTTTGTGATCCAGTTTCTTTGTACAAGACAGATAAATCTGCTTCATTGGAACTGCAATAAACACCAACACAAGGCATGTGTCTCTTTTACATTGAAAATACGGAAACTGACACCGTACCTTACTGTCCTCATCTTCAAACACAGACTGGTGAACATTACAAGCAAAGAGAGAATTGGGGAGATCGTTGAAGTCAATGATTTCATGAAAATCTTCCTCTGCAAAACACCTCTTTAAATCGTTGTCTCCATTTATAGAGTAGAGCAAGAACTGTCCCCCATCCTGCGGGATGCAGCCGTAGCGCCCGAGGCCTCGCATTCCAAAGAAGTAGGAGTCTTCCCTCATCCCTGGCAGGGCAGAGAAGAGAGACACAGTTACACTGCACTTTTAAAAACATCACATGCACAAGTTAACACAGAAATCCTTAGTTTGTAGACAGAATATTTCACTCTATTTTAAGGCAACAATTGACCCCTGAGAAAGGGCACTAAGACTGGTTTCACCAAGGCTCAAATAGGGACTTTGCTTTAGTTTCATTTATTAGCACTGAAAAAATCCAACCATGTCAGCACAAGCTGCTGAAGACAACCAGAAGCAAGGCATTACTTAAGTGCCCCTTGGCCTAAAGGAAAATACTGTGTTGTATTTGGGTTTGAGAGAGTCATGTTTGTTACTGGGAAGGCAGGCTGCTGCTTCTGAGCTTGCAGCCAACTTTGAGAGAAAGGGTAATGAACTGGGTAAGAAAAAAATGAAAATAACTTTGAAAATTACATCAAGCATCAACTCAAAGGGGAAAAAAGGCAGCAAAAAAGACCTGTTCAGAAAGAAGCATGAATGCAGAATCGTCAAAAAACCAGAACAACTAAGACACATCACTGTTACAAATAATAAAGCCAATTTTTTCTACAGTTTAAAGATAGAAAGCACCCGGGTTTTCCATTCCCATTAGCAGTTTCTTTATTTGTATCTTAATCACATTGGGAATCAAATAAAAAAAGCTAAGGGAAGAATGGGCTCAAGAGGCAATTCTCACCACTTTTTAGGAAAATCATGCTGACTTGAGTCTTTACCCAAATTCAGAGTAGAAAGATAATTTTAAGACACACAGAAGTAACAAGCCTACACATCAAACAGCATCTCTGCCGTTGAGACAAAACTAAACTTCATACCAGCCAAGCAGAATAAGTAAAGGTCCAATCAATTATCAGTGTGTTAATTAGTATAAATTCAGGTATTCATCAGTCCTTAGTACAGGTGTATTGGGCATCAACCTCCATAGAGCTCCAGCAAGGTGACTAGAAGCTCTGCAGAGGAATAATTGATTCCCTTATATTTCTGTTTCTTTCAATGCCAACACGCACTCACTGGCTGCTCTTTCTCCTCCTACCATAAGGAGTTTAGGAGTTAGCAGAGGAATAATTGATTCCCTTATATTTCTGTTTCTTTCAATGCCAATTGCAATCACTGGCTGCTCTCTCCTCCTACCATAAGGAGTTTAGGAGTTACATAAACACAGTGTGCTCATCTGTTTCAGATTTGCCCTTGCTCTATTGCGGACTTGCTATTGTCTATAAATAGTTGTAAATATTAGTTCAAATACACTATTTAGGACCAGCGGCCAAAATTAAACCCTATGGGCTTATTACACTTAATCTCAGTAAAGCAAAGCTAAATTATGGAGCTAATTTGCCATGCCTGTGCCTTTCATATAACCTTATTGCTGCTGCTCTGAAGTGACATTTGGCTGATGACAGAGCACATCGTTCCATAACCTTATGTCAAAGAAATGTCAGTAATTGTTATTGCTGAAATCTCAGGGTTAATGACAGAAGGCTGGGAGAGAAAGAGTTGAAGTCTTGCTCAAAAGTATCAGTTCAGAGCACTGTGTCCACACTTACCACTCAAATCACGTGATAAAGAGACAGATTTATTATCCAACATTAGTCAGGACAACTAAGGTTGGACCTGCAGAGGTCATCCCAGCCAAACCACAGGGTCAGACCAGGATAATTCAGGACCTTGTCCAGAGGTAACGCTGCGCAGCAATACCACTCATAGCACATACAGTGATCTGCAGAGAGCTGGAAGATCACGAGATCTTAGCTGTCCTCCTTTTCCAGGTACTAAAATATGTTACACAGCTAAAAACAGAATAGTTTCCTAGTCCTGTGCTCTATGTAATTTATGAGGGAGGAGCTTAAAGCCAACGAGGATGTGGTGCCATAAGGAAGCAGGTGTGGTATGAAAGCCTCAGGCCAACTACTTCTTTTTATTGTGTCAACCTGAGGACAGCTTTTTAGACTATTAAATACACACTAGGATTTTCACCAACTCAGCCTGAGACTAACACAACTACCTCCAACTCCTTTCATCTTATGAATTTAATTCTAAATTAAAAAAAAGCCTGAACAGCTGACAATGGAGTGGCTACAGCTTCAGGAGTATACATTATGTAGTTGGAACTCAGTGTCACCATTGCCCCTGATATTTGAACCAACTCCCTTCAGCCTCATGTTCCTGTACGTTTCAGCATTAACATACCCAGGTGAGCAGCATAGAATCATGGAATGGTTAGAGTTGGAAGGGACCTTAAAGATCATCCAGTTCCAACCCCCTGCCATGGGCAGGGACACCTCCCACCAGACCAGGTTGCTCAAAGCCCCATCCAGCCTGGCCTTGAACCCCTCCAGGGATGGGGCAGCCACAGCTTCTCTGGGCAACCTGTTCCAGTGCCTCACCACCCTCACAGGAAAGAATTCCTTCCTAATATCTAATCTAAATCTCCCCTCTTCCAATTTAGAACTGTTGCCCCTTGTCCCATCTCTGTACTTCCTGACAAATGAAGAAGTTCTCACAGCAGCCACCACGGGGACAGAAACATCAATTCAGCACGTATCACCACTCTAGCAGAAAATATTCATAGATCATCTACTGCAAATACATCATCTCTAGATGTGTTTGCCATCATGTCTAGCCCGTGTCAAGATGAGATTCATTGCTTTGAGGTTTATGAAAATAAAACCCTCAATCCCAGCATGTTACAAAATATAATTCACATGGCAGAGCTGACTTTGAAATTCTTCATGGTCACAGGCCATTCACAACAGGCAAACTACTTGCAGCCAGTGAAGTTACTGACAATTTTATAGTCACACTGGGTAAAACCCTTCTTCCCCCAAAGCATGAAGCTGGAAAAACCCACTCAGCAGAGAGGGATGTTTCAAAGCCGGTTTGACACAACAGACTCAAGAGGACGGAGATGACACAAGCTGATACTCAAAAATTGAAGGAATTCAGATTAGGAATTAATTCTCTCTCTTCCTGGTGAGAAGAGGGGAGATTAAATGGAAGTGGGAGTAGTGAAGTTTAAGATGTACAAGAATGCCCTAGGATATACCAAGACAGCAATCTGCTGGCTGAATGGAACTGGGAGTCAGAGTAGAGCAAGAGAGGCAATACAGTACATCAGTTTGTTTTCCATACACATCCCTATTTACATTAGTTGGTTTCTTAACCTGTACTTTTTAGACTAATAAATAAGCTTCATTTTCACTGAAAAGTATGACAGCAAAGTTAAAGATAACTTCCTGGCAGCTAACAGATTTCATACATCCTGTTCCCCCACGCATGACCAAGCTATTAGGGTGTGCAGAGAAGTAAAGAATCTCAATCTATCAACACAAGTCAGAAAAGCCTACAGTTTTCTTCACTGAACTGTTGTGTTTTGCTTTTTGCTCCCAGTAGAGCCATATTATAAGATCCTAGATAGGAAAGGAAGCTTTTAACTTCAGCATTAAGGAAAACCATTATGACAAGCAGCAAAACACAGGAGTATTTTAAGTTTCAATGCTAAAGTCCAGATTTTTAGCCATCTTAGTTGGCAATAAGGAAATAAGCATACACTATAGCAAGTGATTCTACAACATATAGGCTTCAAAGTTCCATCTGAGATTAGAAATCTATAAATATTCTTACATTATGTGGTAGAAGATTTGCCCTGCTAGAGCTCTTTAACAAGAAAAGCTTGCTCCTTTTTCAGTCAATTTTTGGGACAGATTTTTCTCAGTGGGACCTGGGTATTGACCAAATCTTTTTAAGCAAGTCCCTTTCACATGCCTTTTGACCATCTCTTTTGCAAGATTTGTAGGCACATGTGTGTATATGCACATGCCTCTCCTGCACTTTAAGATACACCCAGAATTCTGATCAGTGTTCCCTCCACTAGCAAGTCAAATGACAATACCCTAATTATTAAATCCTCTGCCTAATTTAAGATGGGACCTGCGCAGTTAAGAACATCTGTCTAGAATAACTATTGATTCATAATTTTTACTTTGCTATACAGGGGCCATGTGATGTACAATATCAAGCACAGCACCACAATTAAAATAGAAATCTCACTAATAAAAATATATGTGTTCCCCCAAGAAAAATAAACTGCTTATGAGTCTGAGCTCAGCAATAAGAGGGGACAAACAGTTGAATCAACAGTATTTGGTAGCACACTTCAAGCCCTCGGGCTGCAAGTTCAGACTCTGACTGGACAAACTAGCATTTCTGGCAAAAAAAAAATGCAACATGATGTGTCACACACCTCAGGCTTCTCACTTCCAACACCAGCCACTTCCTACAGAGACGGGCCCCACGCCACCTTGCGTGATGGAGAAAGCATCCCCTGAGCAGATTCGAGGCACAACTGCCCAAACTCACTCAGCTGAAGGAAAAACGTTTGGGTTTAACTCCATTAAGTAGATAACTGACCTGATTCCCTTCAGGGCTGCATAAATATTTGTAGTAACCAGAAAAAAAAAAAAAAGGCCAAGTTTGGGAATGGACAAGTGACAGCAAGAGTTAGGATGGAACTTTTCAGCAACTAACCTACTTAAAACATTCATGAAATTATAACCTAAGTTTTCACAGCTCTGCATGAACTTCATAATAAGTCACCATAGAAGTTACCTTCAGACAGTCACAAGCTGGAAATCTTACCTTTTTCTGCATTATAAATAACACTACACACACACTAAACAAATCATAACTACATATCCTTCATCATTTCTGTCAAACACCTTAAGGCTCAGATGTTTTGGTAGTGTTTTGTAGCTGCTTTAAATTTACTTGCCACTTCAGGATCTCTGTCAAAAAAAACATTGTCTTTTCAATTATTCTACTAATTTAGATCAAAAGAATTTCCATTTCAAATCCCTTAAATTAATTCTAAATCATGTATAATCCATGAACTGGATTGCCATAAAAAATAACTCCAATTAAAAGTCATCTTTTACATAACTATACTACCATCACTGGATCATATTCCCATTTATATTAGAGCCCCTTTCCACAGCTT